CGTCATGGTGGAGCGGGAGCGAAAGCGGCAGGGTGAGGGAGGGGGGGACGGGGGGAGGCCTGGAAGGGGTCGGGGGCGGGCGGAGGGTTGGGAAGAGGCGGAGGGAGGGGGAGGGTGGGGGTCTCCCCCGGGGTCTCCATGGCAACAGGCTCCGCCCCCTGGAATGGAGTCCCCCGGGGTCTCCATGGCAACAGGCACCGCCCATTAGAGGGGGGTTCCTCTGAGGTCACCGTGGCCACAGGCCCCGCCCCTCCAATGGGTTCCCCCAGGGTCTCCATGGCAACAGGCTCCGCCCATTGAGGGGGTTCCTCTGGGGTCACTGTGGCCACAGGCCCCGCCCCTTCGGAATGAGGTCTCCTGGGGTCTCCATGGCAACAGGCTCCGCCTCTGGGGTCACCGTGGCCACAGGCCCCGCCCCCAGGTTCTCCATGACCACAGGCCCCTCCCCCTGTATCTCCATAGCAACAGGCCCCGCCCCTTGCCCTGGGTAACCATGGTAACAGGCCACACCCCTCCAAGCCTCAGGCTCTGCCCACTACTGGTGACCTTCCTGACCTCGGGTGACCCTCCCGGTGACCCCCCCCCCGACCCCTGAGACCCCCTGGGTGACCCTTGACCCCCCTGGTGACCCCCCTGACCCCCGAGACCCCCCAAGTGACCCTTGATCCCCCCTGTGCCCCCCCAGAGGAGGAGGAGGTGGACAAGATGATGGAGCAGAAGGTGCGGGAGGAGCAGGAGCGGCGCCGCAGGAAGGAGCTGGAGGAGAGGATGTCCCTGGAGGAGACCCGAGAGCAGGTGGGACACGGCCCAAACACCCCCAAAATCCACCCAAAATACTCCCCAAATCCCTGCAAAATCATCCTCGAAATCCCGTCAAAAATCCCATCAAAATCCTCCTTAAAATCTTCTCCAAAAACCCCCAAAATCCCATCAAAATTCCGTCAAAATCCTATCAAAATCCTCTTCAAAATCTTGTCAAAAATCTCCTTCAAAATCCCATCAAAATCCTCTTCAAAATCTTGTCAAAAATCTCCTTCAAAATCCCATCAAAATCCTCTTCAAAATCCCATCAAAACCCTCTTAAAATCCCATCAAAACCCATCAAAATCCCATCAAAATCTCCCAAAATCCCATCAAAGTCTTCCTCAAAATCCTCCTTAAAATCCCATCAAAATCTCCCCAAAATCCCGTCAAAATCTTCCTCAAAAACTCATCAAAATCCTCCTCAAAATCCCGTCAAAATCCTCCTTAAAATCTCATCAAAAATCTCCTTCAAATCCCCCCAAAATCCCGTCAAAATCCTCCTCAAAATCTCCTCAAAATCATCCCCGAAATCCCCTCAAAATCTCCCCAAAATCCCATCAAAATCCTCCTCAAAATCTCATAAAAAATCTCCTTCAAAATCCCCTCAAAATCCTCCTCAAAATCTCATACAAAAACCCCCAAAATCCCCTCAAAATCCCATCAAAATCACCCTCAAAATCTCCCCAAAATCCCGTCAAAATCCTCCTCAAAATCCTCCCTAAAATCCCATCAAAGCCCCCCAAAAATCCCATCAAAATCCTCCTCAAAATCCCATCAAAATCCTCCTTAAAATCCCATCAAAATCCTCCTTAAAATTTCATCAAAGTCTCCTCAAAATCCCATCAAAATCCTCCTCAAAATCCCATCGAAATCACCCTCAAAATCTCATCAAAGTCATCATCAAAATCTCATAAAAAAATCTTCAAAATTCCCCCAAAATCCCATCGAAATCCTCCTCAAAATCTCCTCAAAAAATCTTCAAAACCTCCTCAAAATCCCATCAAAATCACCCCAAAATCCCATTCAAATCCCATCAAAATCCTCCTCAAAATCTCATCAAAAAATCTTCAAAATCTCATCAAAATCCTCCTTAGAATCCCACCAAAACCCTCCCAAAATCCCATCAAAATCCTCCTCAAAATCTCCTCAAAATCCTCCTAAAAATCCCGTCAAAATCCTCCTTAAAATCTTCTCCAAAAACCCCCAAAATCCCATCAAAATCCTCCTCAAAATTCCGTCAAAATCCCATCAAAATCTTCCTCAAAAACTCAAGTCTCCTTCAAAATCCCATCAAAATCCTTCTTGAAATCTTGTCCAAATCCTCCTCAAAATCTCGTCCAAAATCTCCTTCAAAATCCCATCAAAATCCCATCAAAATCCCATCAAAATCTCCTCAAAATCCCACCAAAATCCTCCTCAAAATCTCCTCAAAATCCTCCTAAAAATCCCGTCAGAATCCTCCTTAAAATCTCATAAAAAATCCTACTCAAAATCCCGTCAAAATCTCCCAAAAATCCCATCAAAATCCTCAAAATCTCATCAAAATCTCCCCAAAATCCCATTAAAATCCTCTTCAAAATCTCATCAGAATCCTCCTTGAAATCCCGTCAAAATCCTCCTTAGAGTCTCCCCCAAATCCTCCTTAAAATCCTTTCAAAATCCCCCAAAAATCCCATCAAAATCCTCAAAATCTCATCAAAATCTCCCCAAAATCTCCTCCAAATCCTCCTCAAAAATCTCATTAAAACATCTTTAATGTTTCCCCCAAAACTGCAGCTGCTGAAGCTGCAGGAGAAGTTGGGGGCTCTGCAGGAGGAGAA